TATAGTTCTGGTTAATACAAATGTCTGCTTCAAATATCATTTAACAATGTCCAATTAATAAAGTTAGTATTGGGCATCCTTATTATATAATATTCAGATAATATACATAAGAATTTTCGGAAAAAAATGCAGGTTCTTGCGGAATTTCAATTGATAAATCAATACAACACAGAGGAGTTTCGATCCAGGCAGAGAGCTGGAATTCGATTCAGAGAGCTTGAATTATATACACCAAATAACCCGACATCACCAACTACACCCACAAATTTAATTCTATCTGATATTACAAATGGTAATGATTAATTATTATATTCGTAGTTTACATAAATTTCATGTTACTTAATCCCCTTACATTTTTAAATATGAATATATCAGTATTAAATGAATTTAAATTATTACTATGATGTGTTTCAGTAAGTAGAACTGAAAGAAACAATAGAAGAGTTGTGAAGGATGTCGCGGCAACAGGTACGAACCACATTACCATTTGTAATGACGAAACTCAAACTATAGTTATATTATATATAATATAACTATAGTTTGAGTTTCGTCATTACAAATGTGGCGTAATTTAATATATAAATTATAATGAAGAATTACATTTTTATATTATGTAAACATATTTGGAATACACTATCAGCAAAAAGAGAGTTGCCCAGTATAAAGGAAAAACTCGAACTCTAAATGTTAGAAGTATGTCAAGTACAGATACAAATGACAAAAAAAAAAGCTATAAGAGAAATCGTGAGGTGACATATAACAATGTTGCAGCAAATTGTGAAGGTTTGCACTCTATTAATTAATTGTCATCATTAGAAGAATTATTCAAAATTTTCTTACGGATGTCTTTAATAATATTTCCAACAGATGCTAATTCGTACGAGATAGATGGGTTACATAGCATTGATAGTGTGCAAAATATTTCTACTAATACATACTACGAAACCAACAAAAGGTACATTTCGTAATATTTATGAAACACAACATTAATACAATTATATAACACATTTGTATTTAATATGTTACCATATCCAACATTGTAAAAGTATAATATTTTTTGGGTAAATTACACACACCCCCCTGAGGTAAGTTTAAATAACTGTAAGGTCCCTGTGGAATCGATAATTACACTTAGCCCCCTGAAACACAGTCGCAAAGACTTTAGTGATTCCGTATGTTATTTGCCAGTCCCAAGGAGGTAAAGAATTAACTCGTTTATTATTTTTATCGATAAATGGTTCCTGCTCAAAATGTTTTCGTGTTTAATTTATAGATATTTTTTTCCTTCAGGCTTCCTCCATCGAGCGTCTAAATTATTGCGTGAGCTCACGTGCGTAGTAGTAAGCGTGGAGTCCCATTTTACTTTGCTGAGATACTTAGATGATATTGGAGATAGTTTGTTGAGCGACGAACACATACAATGCCTTGCAGATAAATCGCCTTTATTGCTGCATGCTATTCGAACTGGTTA